ACCCAGTTAAATTTTACTCGTCCGAATCGGCCCATTATGTATAGATAAATATGACACTACTGTAATTTTAAGACTACAAGAATTAGAACAAGTTCCTGTGGCCTTGTAAAGATAGCATCTTATCCAGATAACTTAATTAGTATCATCTGTAATATCTACCTAAGATACAAAGTGTGATCTTATGAATAGTAATTTGTGTAGAACCATATGAGTATTCAAATTTTGATACAAGATCAAGGACATTTGTTCTATATTAAAGGCCTTCTCTATCATAATTGTAGGTTTTTATCATCACCCACTTGCCACTGAGGTAGGACGTGTTGTCCAAAGCACTGATTCTGTTTCTGGCTGTTTACTTGTATAGTATTTACTTTTCAGTTATTGCTTATCAAATTTGTATTTCTACCAAGATCCAGCCAATAGCATTGTAATTTTTCAGTATTTTGCCTTTTAATTAATGTACTGTTCTACATTTAAAAGCATAAACAGTTTACCATCATACATCCCTGGTATTCAACCCACGACCTGTGGGCCAAATCCCAGCCTGCGCAAAATTTCAATCCGGACCATGTGACATTGCTAATAATAAATCATTTTTCTAGCCGATTTACAGAGTTTGTAGAAAAAGTTATTCTCTTAATAGAAACATGACCACCTACTGTGGCATTTTTAACCAGAGTCTCAGTCTGGCTTTTTCTGTGTGTAGCTCGCTGTATCTAGTGGCGTAAAGTATTGACATGGGAAGGGGATACTGATTGGACTAAAGATAAGGTATGTGGCACTGATATGATGCGTTTCCTAACTATTGGCGGTGGTAATGGTAAAGTTGGGAGAATAACCCATAACTTTCAGCGTCATTGTGCTAAATTGCGTATGGACATGGTCTGTGACTACAGTACCTAGCAGCCGTAAATAGGCGCTTCATGGTAGATACATGTTTACATCATTCCACAATGACAAGGGTTGAAATGAACCATAATATCGGGGTAACCCCTACATCCCCCCATCCCTTTAAAGTGCACACGAGCCAGATGTATACACTGGACCTCCATTTTTAGTCCTTTCCAAGAAGACCTGGTTCTACCTACCGAACCATGGGTGAGGAGCGGCTGGAACCAGCGCCGATGGTAAGGCTGTAGCTAGTGGCGCCCCTGCCTTACCACTCGGCTCGCTAAGTGCAAGTGGCGGATCCAGGGTGGATCTGTGTAAGATGCAGCAGCAGATCCAGGGAGCAGGCTTGGGTGCATGTCATTTTGTTGAAAACAATGCTAAGAAACATTACAGTATTAGAGTACCATTTCCGGGTATCTAGAGGCGTCTATTTTTACAATTTGCTCACCTGTTGGTGCTGAGGTAATTGTGGCCTTTTTGTGGTATATTGGACTACAACAATTTCTGGCGCTGGCGTTGTTTTTAACTACTTGGTACTTGAGTGGATTTTTTGCGCTCGGAAAATTTTTTAGTGCCTTATATGCATTCCCTCATTTCTACAAGTGAGTTGATGTTGAAAAACGAAGGCTATATTATATAATAGGCATTAGGAAGAGAATGGGTGGGGCTGTCAAATTTGGAAGTACACAATAATTGTCTACTTCGACATATTTACTATGTTGGCCCGCTGCTGGTCTCGACAGATTGAAACTGGCCACCACCTCAAAAAGGTTGAATACCCGAGTCTTACAAAAAAAAAAACAGGTGCTGTGTTAAAATATCTTTCTATGAAATGTGTGTTATTAGGTTTCGGCTGTGTTAGTTTCAAGACTTGCATGGAATTGCTTGTGTATAATAATCACTATTATCTCAACCCAGCAGTACCTAGATCCACTACCAGTGATATTACAGTATTGACCTTAATTTCAGTTTGAATGGGGTTAATTGAGTTTGTCTACCTAGACCTGCTTACTTAAACTCTAGGCAGGAATAACACAGAATTAATACATTAGCAATGCTATTAATCTCGGTACTGACAATCTGCACATACGTTAGAGAATTAGCCTCCTATAAATTCTGCGTAAATATGCTAATGGTTGAAGGTTTTGTACTCGTGTTCGGAGTATGCCTAACCACCATGGGGCCGAACATGAATCCCAGTACTGTAGATCTGCGAGTACAGATGGTTGGATGAGGAATGACATATTGAGGAAAGAATTGGCATTTTTCCAAGGTTAATTCTGACAATTGACAAGTTCATTGTGCATTGAAAGGAGTTGGCAGCATCTTACTCTGTTATAGTGATAACAATAATGTTTTAATAGATCAAAACGTTGGTTGTAATCCAAGTTGATTGTAAATTTTGAATAATAATATGACTGTCACTTGATCACTTGCCAAAACAATGTGTAATCTATACTTAGGCAGTGAAGTACCTACCAGTGTCAATTTTAATTTTTAAAGCTTCCTTTTTTAATCTTGTTTACTCAATAAGTATAAATTTCTACTTCAACTACTACTACTACTACGTACATATTTTGTATTGTGTATTTTTAACGTACTCAAATTATGCACACTAATACCCGATTCACACGTACAAAAATCTTACCAAATGTAACAAAATGTAACCAAAAGTAACATTTTACGGCACGTGTGAAAGTACCTCCGTGTAATATCCTTGTAAAATCTCGGAACGTCTCGGTAATCTTTACCAGCC